TGCTCCCATATCTTTCCCCCATATCCTCATTGACTATGTCTCCGGGTGCGGATGTGTGTTTGTCTTTCTTTGGTTTTACAACTTGCTTCTAAAGTTCAAAGGTTATACCATTCTTCAGTGTCTCTTGCATCACCAAAACTTGTTCTTCACACGCTTCAATCGGCCAAAACTATTTTGATCCCGATCCAGACCCAGACTTATACTTGTCAATTCCCAAAAGATTCTTGGACCTGTGTAACCGATGTTCCTTCTTAAACATAAATTAACTCTTAATACACCTATGTCATCTTTTCTCAAACCCCCAACTACACCAGCTTCCTCGCAAATGTTGGGCCAACAGAACCCTGTCGAGATACAAGCTGATGGGCTCCTTGGGAGTCATTGGGAATCAGTCGCTGGGGCACAATCATTCCAGCTCTCCAGTGTTCTTGCCTTTAGAAAACAGCTTCGAAGCTATCGATCATTGCAGGGAGAACTGAAGACACAAAGTCTCACGGCACCACACATGTGCTGGCTCTCAACAACGCATCCAATCTTCTAATGAATCCTTTGCCAAGTCACTTCTTATTGCCATATGTCTTCAAGTGCTATTGTTGATAGTGGATGTTCTATTCTTGACACCAATATTTTCAGTGATGTTGACCTCCAATTCTATCAGAAAGCTTTCGTGAACAATTATCCATAGGAGGTATCGCGGAGGTCTGAGCATTGAGTACATCGGCACTACTGATTGGGAGACTTTGGATGAGCAAGCCAAAGTGTGTTGTGTCAATTCGGGAGCAGTTTCTATTCATCTGATCTCCAAACAGACTCCTAAGCCTCAAGCTTTCTTGTCCCATCAAGGACTTGACCCAAAACATGCAAACTCAGCGATCATCAGAGTCTACCACGACCAGTGCTGAATGGCATACGGAGGAAAGAAAATGCTACAAAGAAGTTTGACTCCAGTTTTCTACAACGACTTACTCTGTTCCCAAAAGGAAAGGCACTCTCTTCTCTTCTCTACAAGCAATGACTTCAGTTCTATTACATACCAACAACCGGAAACTTTATACATTTGACAAAATCTGATCTCAATGCTTAAGTTGGACATCTGTCCTTCCCCCATGTCCAATTTGGTTGGGCTGGTTTCTTAGACAAAGAATGGGTCTCGGCTTGCTTAGAAGCAGGTCGGGAGATCCTAAATGTTGCCGCTTCGTAATATGGAAAAAAGTCAGCAACATTATCAACCACTGTCACCACAGAAGACCCCAGACAAACAGGGAGCGCGTCA